AAAAAAAAGAATACTCCCATCAATCTTGCATATTCTTTTAAAAAGGTCTCTCAGTAGGTAGCAAAAGAAAATAACTTCCATTTCTTTCCTAATTTTGTCCTGATCTGTGCACAATTTGTGCTGTCCAAGTGAGCATTGCACAACATTTTTACAAAGTAGGAAGTAACTTTGTAAGGAAAGGAAGTAACTTTGTAAGGAAAAGAAGGAAAGAAGTTTCTTTCCTTCTTAAGGAATTCTTCCTCAAATGGCCTGGAGTGCAGGGTGTATGCCAGGCACCTTGCAGTGAGCACCCTGGGAGCGTGCAAGGAGGTTTCAACCCCGTGTACAGGCCCCATTAAAGCGCCGCACCCTCGTAGCTGACTCACGAGCGAGCGGTGGATGGGAAGGATGGATGGAAAGAGGAGGAGGCCAAGGGTTTTTATGTGGATGGTCTGCCAGATGTCTGGGCGCACCCTGTTGACCGCAGCTGGAACACTTCGGTGACCAGTCCGAGGTGATCTGCGCACGTCGTTGAGTTGGCTCTGACCCATGGAACTGCATGCAGGGCAGAGTGACATGCTGCGTGGTCGCCTGCCATCTTCGTGATCAGGGCAGGCTAGGGTCCATGGCTGTGGCACTGTGGGTTCTGAGTTGCCCTCCAGTCTAGAGGGCTCATTTTTGAGCACTGTTTACTAGACAATATCTGCTGCAGCCCATAGGGATTCTATTGGCTAATTTTCAAAAGTGAAACACCAGGCCTTTCCCCCTAGGGGCCCTTAGTCTAGAAGCTCCACGCTAGCCTATTTCACATGGGTGAACCACTTGGCATCTGAAATACCAGGGGTTGAGCATCCAGCAGTGTGGTAACACTCAAACCACCACAGTACAGCACCATGTCAGGTGGGTGGCAAGGATGAGGGAGAGGCATGCTAGTTCTAGCCCAGAGACACCCCTCTCACCCTGTGGTGCAGATACGGAGATTTGGGTGGCGCTAGCTGGGAGCACAGAGCACATATCCGCCTGCAAGATAATCTTCTGCCCAAGCAAGAAAGCAAGTTAGGGCATGATTTTTTTTTCAAGGCCTTTATTGAGAAATATCAAAAGTTGGTTACAGTTCCACACACGGTCTTACAAAGTTCAAGGGCAGGGAGTAGAGATAGGAGAGGCCATCCATATGCATGTTTAAACATCGTGGTAGCTTGTCAGCGTGGGAAGGCTTATTGAACAGTGAACCACAACACTGCTGTTTCCCATCTCCACTAGGACACAAACAGAAGACTTTCAGTGACTTGAGTGTTCTCACTCAAAACTCAGTGCCATCGAGTGGCTTCGGCCTCATGGCGACCCTATAGGACAGAGTAGAACTGCCTCTGTGGGTTTCCAAGACTGTAACTCTTGACAAGAGTAGAGGACCTCACCTTTCTCCTATGGAGTGGTTTGTTGTTTTGAACCACTAACCTTGTGGTTAGCAGCCCAACGCGTAAGCACTCAACCACCTGCTTGAGAATTGGTAAAGTCTACATATTTTAAAAATACCCGCCCTTTCATTTGCTCATCACCCCTTCCGGAACAAGCAACACTGTTTATAGGAAGCCAACACTAAGATCCAGTCACTGCAATTTCTATTACATTTTCACAAGGGGAAATCTAGCAAGTTACATGTCACCTTGGGACACACTAGAGAGCCCAGACAGATCATGATTATTTATTTCACATTAAACAGAAAAGGGGGAGTCACTGAAACAGAGGGTCACAGGCATCCCATGGAACCACCACGTGTGGGACATCATGGGCGATTCCACTCAGTCCCAGTCACAAGCAAGCAAGCAACAGCCTGACCGGGAGCCAACGAGCGTGGCCTCACCAGCACAGAACACGGGAGGGAGTCTTCTCAGGGAGGTTGCACCATGGTCTTTTATGTCAGGGGGATTGCACGGGGGAGTTACACGTTCAAAATCATCGGGGCATAGGGGTGGGGGGGTGGGTGTAACCGTGACGGTGTGGCGTGCCTTGGGGTAAGGCTTGTGCTGGTTTACCTACAAGGAGATTTCTGAAGAGATTGTCCAGCAACATCAGAAAGGAAGAGCCTTTGTCCTCAGAGGAACGACTCCTTGTTCACCCACATGAGGCTGCGCGTCTCGTTGGGCTTGCACTCGTACTCAATGACGGAGAAGGGGCTTCCCCACTGGCAGTGGTCGCGCTTGTGGTAATTGTAGAACTTGACCTGCCACACCGTCTCAAAGGTCCCAATATCTGTGAACTGTAAGGGAGAGAAACACACCCCGTAAAAACCCCCGGCAATGACAGACAAGAGCTAATATTGGCGAAGGAGGGCGCTATCCGCTTGCGCCTGTACGTCCGTCTTAGGGACTGTCCTGTGTTTAAGTAAAAGCTTAGCTTCCTTGATGTGGGAAGTCTTTTTCTGAAAAGCTATCTCCAAACTATGTTGTTTCACGAAATTTAATTCCCATTGCACATACGCCCTTGGCTATCGTGACGCCCTGCATCAGGTGAGTGTTGTGATCTTTGTGATCCATCGGGTTTTTGTTGGCTGATTTGGGGAGGTCACTCACCAGGTCTCTCTTCCTAGTCTGTGTTAGTCTAGAAGCTCCCCTGAAACCTATTGTGCATCATGGCAACACACACGCCTCCATTTACAGACAGGTGATGGAAACTCTCCTAAATGCTAAGTGTAATTTCCTGAAAAATACTCGTAGAACTTTAGTCCCTGCCACCGAAGGAGGGCTGGGAAGGGACGATGGACTCACGGTACCTGCTGGTTTCTACGTCACAAGACAGCTGCACACCGTAGCAGACACTCTACAACGACCCTTCTGCCTGAACTATAAGTCCCAGGAAAATGCTTGACTCAAGGTGATATTTATGTTCAATTAGAAACACTTTATTCTTAAAGGTTTTATTTCAACTTTCTGATCTTAATGAGTATTTAAGTAATCTAGGAATCCATGTCCGTGGGTCAGGCTTAGATCATATATGATCCAAAACTATATTGAAGTACCTACTAGAAGTGGCAGTAGTGCAGTGGTTAAAGCGCTCAGTTGAAAACCAGAAGATTGGCAGTTTGAATCCACGAGGATGCTCCACGAGGGAAAGATGTGGCAGTCTGCTTCTGTAAAGTTTACTGAAGCCCTCAGGGGCAATTCTACTCTCTCTAACAGGGCTGCTATGAGTCAGCAACGACAAAACAGTAAGGCGGATAGGTTATTATGTAGCTTGCACACATAAAATATATATATAGTAGGCATGCTCTTTGCTCTCAGAAAGTTCACATTTAATTTCCAGAAGGGGAACTCACTCACGGCCATCAAATCAATACCAACTCATAGGGTTAGGTAATGAAGAGACAGAGACAGAGGGCTGTCCCTCCCACGCTTGCACAGGCCCCCAAACAGGAGGTTGGGACGGAAATCAGGTGAGCACTAAGCACCTATGAAGACCTTAACTGGACATGCTCAAATTCAGACCCCCAAGCCAGGTGGGCGTTATACCTGGGCAGCCCAAATTAGGCCCAGGTGGGCTTGATTCAGCCAATGGAGTCCACCAATACCTTCGACAAAGCCTCCCCAGCCAGAGGTTTGAAATACCTGGCGGCGGCGGCGGGAGGGGTGTCCTCTTTTACCCGACTCCTGAGCTCGAGCAGTGCTGTTCTCTCTCTGGCCTCAGTTCACCCGTGTGGTGCGCTATTCCATGAGGCTGCTCTTGTTCAGTTGTGAACTTCCACACAGCTTCCCTAAAATGGTGTGTACTCTTTTGAGACTGTAAACCCGGAAACTTCTCTCATCCTTCATATAAACTCCTTTGGATTACAAACCAGGCTGCGGCATGAATTCTTTCTCCTTTGAAGCCATGAACCGAGAACCACATGAGAGGCCTCTCAGTAGTAACCCTATAGGACAGGGGGAAAATGCCCCTGTGGGTTTCCAAGACTGTAAATCTTTATAGAGCACAGACATCTCCATCCTTCTCTTAAGAGTCACCGGTGGTTTAGAACTGTAGACCTTGCCCTAACCAAGTCAACAGCCCAAGCAGCTCAATACTTAACCCACCACAAGGGCTCCTCCTTCCAGAAGGGAAGGCTTGCAAATCTTCATCAGGACTTTGAACCCGTTAGAACCAGTTGAGTCATGGCCAACACAAGGAAATCAGAAGAGGTGTGGCTCTTAAAATGTGGGGGCACCAGAGTGATAACCGGAACAGGGTGAAGGCGTGCAGTGGGACACAGGTGAGGCAGAGCGGGGAGTCTGATGCAGGGGGTTGGAGAGTTGGTAGGACTGGGCAGAGGAACACACATGCAAAGTGCTGCGGTTGGCTGCCATCTTTGAGTCAGGACCCGCTGTGTCTGACTCTGCTCACGGGACTGGGCTACTAGGCCACGGGCAGCTGGTTTTCTTTTTGAAGAGATTAACTTTAGATCTAGCAGGATATGAAGAGTCATTTTCTTTCTCCTCGTGATTGCTCCAGCACACACACTTACAAATTCGGGCACATTTCGGTTTCATTTCATTGGCCATGCCTGAACTGGGAAGAACTGGTTCAAATCAGTGATCTCTACAGACTCCTCCCTAGCTGTAAGCTGTCAATTCTCTTGTAACTGAGAAGAGGGCACTGAATACCCCAGAGGCCCCTGGGCAGATGTTCAAGTGGCCTGTGGGGTAGCCTGACCCTGTGACCGCCTCCTGGAGCTATTTAGGGGACCTGGCACTAAACACCATGATGCCTGTCCTTATTTTCTCCGCCGATCCTTCCCTGTCATGGGAGGGGGCAGGGACTGACTTGGCAAGGTTCCTAGATGTGTCAGGAGCCAGAAGACATCACGGTGGTTGGGTGAGGGGGGCGGGGGAGAGCTGTGAGCAATAGAATCCTGTCCATTGTGGTGGCTACACGAGAAGGTGGTCATGTGCTTTTCAGACAGCTTTGCAAGAGTTTCCTTTAGAACATTTACTGGAAACAGTGAGTAAGATACCGAATGCCCACAAAGCTAAACGTTTGAAAATAAAATATCATTTTTTTACAGAGTTATGGCTTGAAGACTTGTACAAGTACCCATGAGCATTAGTCAACAGATCTACACTGGGATCAACCCAAATGTCTATCATCTGGTGACTGATTAAACACCTTTTGGTATTTGGTATAATAATGACACTTTACTTAAAAACAAACAATTACTCACTCACACAAACCAACCAACCAACAAACAAAAAAGGGATCTAGTGATCCAGGCAAAGAGAAGGATAGATCTCAAAGACATGTCAAGACATGAATTTGCAAAATAATAATAATTTATAAATTATCAAGGGTTCATGAGGGAGGGGGGAGGCAGGGAGGGAGGGGAAAAATGAAGAGCCGATACCAAGGGCTCAAGCAGAAAGCAAATGCTTTGAGAATGATGGCAACAAATGTACAAATGTGCTCGACACAATGGATGTATGTATGGATGTTGATAAGAGTTGTACGAACTCCCAATAAAATGATTAAAAAAAGAGAAAATAATAATGAAATCTAAAAAAAAGAAAAGAAATGAATTTGGATGATAAAGAATACATGCTTTATAAATTCTATTTGGACAAAATTCTAAAACATTGAGAATCTATTGTGACACCGTATACTGTATACTGGCAGAAGTCACGGCTTACCTAGTGGTTACTTAGGGCCAGTGGGAAGGAGGTGACTGATGCAAATGTGCTTTCTAGGGAGATGGAAATGTTCCGCATCTTGAGTCGGGTGTCAAGTCCATTGTCAGGAGTCATTGAGCTATGCACTCAATGGGTGGATGTATTATATGTAAACTATACCTCAAAGTTGATTCAAAAATAGAAATATTCTAGTCTTTGGGGTGGGGCTGGGGCTGGGATTTGGTCAACTGGTGCAACATAGCTCAAAAGATAACATGTTATATTCTAGCTTGGTGAGTAGTGCCTGCGGTCTTAAAAGCCTGTGACTGTTTACCTGAGATACAACTACTGCTCTCTATAGCCTCAAAGAGACTAGTCGACAAGACTAATAGTCAACACGAACCATGACTTCACCTGCCTTGAGCAGGAACTAGATGGTGCCCAGTGACTGCAATACCAACTGGCCATTCTGACCAGGGACACAATAGAGGTCCCCGATAGAAAGGGGAAAAAAAGAAGAACATAAAATCCTAAAAAAAAAAAAGCTCAACTTACTGGACAGGTAGAGATTAGAGGAACCCCAGAGACTACCACCCTGGGACGCCCTTTAAACGTGGGACTCAAACCACTCCCAGGGGTGGTTCTCAGCCCAAACACTGAGTGGCTCACAGAATCAATCCCATTGCCAGTGACTACTGACTCCTCCAACCATCGTGAGACCTAAGAGTCAACACTGACCCTTGTCCAAAGGTGAGAAGGTAAGGGCAGGGGGAGGACAAGGAAGCTAGATTAAAAGAAGCAGAGCAATCAGAATGGATAGAATGAGACTGCTCAAACATTGTGAAAAATGCACCCAATGTCATGGACTATTATGTCTAGAAATTGTTGAAGGAGAACCTAGTTTTCTGTGGAAATTCCCTCCATAACCACAACAGAATATTTGAAAAGAGAAAAGACTCATTGTTGGCAAAACACAAGGAAACAGGTGCTTTAGACACTGCTATGGGCATTGAGTGGCACAGCCTTTTGGAAGAGAAATTTATATCAAATTAAAGGTGTGAATACACTTTGGTACAGCAATCTCACTTGTAATTTATCTTAGAAACACAGCAATGTTCACAGTGGTGAAAATTTGAACACTAAACATCCATCTTTAAGGCAGTAACTTAGTGGTAGCTCTAAAAAATGGAATAATATGTAGCCATTTCAAGTCGAATGTGTAGTTATCAATCCATTTCAATAACATTATATATGTCAATAATATTAGAAATGGATGGAATATATTTTATTTCTTTTTTGGGCTTTTCTGTATTTTTAAAACTTGATATTACTTTTCTAATTAGAAATAAATGCTAAGCCACATTATAAATATTTACAACATGTTGCCAAGTGGCCAGTAGTATAACATGAAAGGCTCCTCTGTAGATGACTAGTGAGACCTAATAAGCACCTTTGGCTCAAGACTGAAACAACTCATGAACGGCAGACAGATTTTTTGTTCGTTCTTTTGACAGTCCCTGGGACCTTCAACATTCTGCACCAGCACCATGGAGTCTTCTTTGATCTCCCTTATTCGATGTCCAACTTTCATTTGCATGTGAGGCAACTGAAAAGACATGGTTTGTGT